GGGGGGGCATGTGGGGTGCAGGCAGGGACCTGAGCAGGCAGGCAGGGTACAGGCAGGGAGACGGGGAGCATGCTGGGAGCTGGGGGGGCATGTGGGGTGCAGGCAGGGAACCAGGGGGTGCAGGCAGGGTACTGGGGGTACAGGCAGTGAGCTGGGGAGCAGGCAGGGAGCCGGGGGGGCATGTGGGGTGCAGGCAGGGACCTGAGCAGGCAGGCAGGGTACAGGCAGGGAGACGGGGAGCATGCTGGGAGCTGGGGGGGCATGTGGGGTGCAGGCAGGGAACCAGGGGGTGCAGGCAGGGTACTGGGGGTACAGGCAGTGAGCTGGGGAGCAGGCAGGGAGCCGGGGGGGCATGTGGGGTGCAGGCAGGGACCTGAGCAGGCAGGCAGGGTACAGGCAGGGAGACGGGGAGCATGCTGGGAGCTGGGGGGGCATGTGGGGTGCAGGCAGGGAACCAGGGGGTGCAGGCAGGGTACTGGGGGTACAGGCAGTGAGCTGGGGAGCAGGCAGGGAGCCGGGGGGGCATGTGGGGTGCAGGCAGGGACCTGAGCAGGCAGGCAGGGTACAGGCAGGGAGACGGGGAGCATGCTGGGAGCTGGGGGGGCATGTGGGGTGCAGGCAGGGAACCAGGGGGTGCAGGCAGGGTACTGGGGGTACAGGCAGTGAGCTGGGGAGCAGGCAGGGAGCCGGGGGGGCATGTGGGGTGCAGGCAGGGACCTGAGCAGGCAGGCAGGGTACAGGCAGGGAGACGGGGAGCATGCTGGGAGCTGGGGGGGCATGTGGGGTGCAGGCAGGGAACCAGGGGGTGCAGGCAGGGTACTGGGGGTACAGGCAGTGAGCTGGGGAGCAGGCAGGGAGCCGGGGGGGCATGTGGGGTGCAGGCAGGGACCTGAGCAGGCAGGCAGGGTACAGGCAGGGAGACGGGGAGCATGCTGGGAGCTGGGGGGGCATGTGGGGTGCAGGCAGGGAACCAGGGGGTGCAGGCAGGGTACTGGGGGTACAGGCAGTGAGCTGGGGAGCAGGCAGGGAGCCGGGGGGGCATGTGGGGTGCAGGCAGGGACCTGAGCAGGCAGGCAGGGTACAGGCAGGGAGACGGGGAGCATGCTGGGAGCTGGGGGGGCATGTGGGGTGCAGGCAGGGAACCAGGGGGTGCAGGCAGGGTACTGGGGGTACAGGCAGTGAGCTGGGGAGCAGGCAGGGAGCCGGGGGGGCATGTGGGGTGCAGGCAGGGACCTGAGCAGGCAGGCAGGGTACAGGCAGGGAGACGGGGAGCATGCTGGGAGCTGGGGGGGCATGTGGGGTGCAGGCAGGGAACCAGGGGGTGCAGGCAGGGTACTGGGGGTACAGGCAGTGAGCTGGGGAGCAGGCAGGGAGCCGGGGGGGCATGTGGGGTGCAGGCAGGGACCTGAGCAGGCAGGCAGGGTACAGGCAGGGAGACGGGGAGCATGCTGGGAGCTGGGGGGGCATGTGGGGTGCAGGCAGGGAACCAGGGGGTGCAGGCAGGGTACTGGGGGTACAGGCAGTGAGCTGGGGAGCAGGCAGGGAGCCGGGGGGGCATGTGGGGTGCAGGCAGGGACCTGAGCAGGCAGGCAGGGTACAGGCAGGGAGACGGGGAGCATGCTGGGAGCTGGGGGGGCATGTGGGGTGCAGGCAGGGAACCAGGGGGTGCAGGCAGGGTACTGGGGGTACAGGCAGTGAGCTGGGGAGCAGGCAGGGAGCCGGGGGGGCATGTGGGGTGCAGGCAGGGACCTGAGCAGGCAGGCAGGGTACAGGCAGGGAGACGGGGAGCATGCTGGGAGCTGGGGGGGCATGTGGGGTGCAGGCAGGGAACCAGGGGGTGCAGGCAGGGTACTGGGGGTACAGGCAGTGAGCTGGGGAGCAGGCAGGGAGCCGGGGGGGCATGTGGGGTGCAGGCAGGGACCTGAGCAGGCAGGCAGGGTACAGGCAGGGAGACGGGGAGCATGCTGGGAGCTGGGGGGGCATGTGGGGTGCAGGCAGGGAACCAGGGGGTGCAGGCAGGGTACTGGGGGTACAGGCAGTGAGCTGGGGAGCAGGCAGGGAGCCGGGGGGGCATGTGGGGTGCAGGCAGGGACCTGAGCAGGCAGGCAGGGTACAGGCAGGGAGACGGGGAGCATGCTGGGAGCTGGGGGGGCATGTGGGGTGCAGGCAGGGAACCAGGGGGTGCAGGCAGGGTACTGGGGGTACAGGCAGTGAGCTGGGGAGCAGGCAGGGAGCCGGGGGGGCATGTGGGGTGCAGGCAGGGACCTGAGCAGGCAGGCAGGGTACAGGCAGGGAGACGGGGAGCATGCTGGGAGCTGGGGGGGCATGTGGGGTGCAGGCAGGGAACCAGGGGGTGCAGGCAGGGTACTGGGGGTACAGGCAGTGAGCTGGGGAGCAGGCAGGGAGCCGGGGGGGCATGTGGGGTGCAGGCAGGGACCTGAGCAGGCAGGCAGGGTACAGGCAGGGAGACGGGGAGCATGCTGGGAGCTGGGGGGGCATGTGGGGTGCAGGCAGGGAACCAGGGGGTGCAGGCAGGGTACTGGGGGTACAGGCAGTGAGCTGGGGAGCAGGCAGGGAGCCGGGGGGGCATGTGGGGTGCAGGCAGGGACCTGAGCAGGCAGGCAGGGTACAGGCAGGGAGACGGGGAGCATGCTGGGAGCTGGGGGGGCATGTGGGGTGCAGGCAGGGAACCAGGGGGTGCAGGCAGGGTACTGGGGGTACAGGCAGTGAGCTGGGGAGCAGGCAGGGAGCCGGGGGGGCATGTGGGGTGCAGGCAGGGACCTGAGCAGGCAGGCAGGGTACAGGCAGGGAGACGGGGAGCATGCTGGGAGCTGGGGGGGCATGTGGGGTGCAGGCAGGGAACCAGGGGGTGCAGGCAGGGTACTGGGGGTACAGGCAGTGAGCTGGGGAGCAGGCAGGGAGCCGGGGGGGCATGTGGGGTGCAGGCAGGGACCTGAGCAGGCAGGCAGGGTACAGGCAGGGAGACGGGGAGCATGCTGGGAGCTGGGGGGGCATGTGGGGTGCAGGCAGGGAACCAGGGGGTGCAGGCAGGGTACTGGGGGTACAGGCAGTGAGCTGGGGAGCAGGCAGGGAGCCGGGGGGGCATGTGGGGTGCAGGCAGGGACCTGAGCAGGCAGGCAGGGTACAGGCAGGGAGACGGGGAGCATGCTGGGAGCTGGGGGGTCCCTGGAGATATTCAAGGAGAGGCTCGACGAGGCCCTGGGCAACCTGGTCTAGTTGGGGGTGTCCCTGCTGACTGCGGGGGGGTGGGACTAGATGGCCTTTGGAGGTCCCTTCCGGCCTGGACCATTCTGTGATTCTATGATTCTGAGGGAGCGAGGGGCTGGACGTGCTGGTTCAGGAAGGTGTTTCCTGCCGTGGAGCTGCGTGTCTGGAGGTTTGGCCGTGCCCTGTCTCCAGCGGACGGGCTCGGCAGCAGATGAGCTCTCGGGGTGCATTCACAGCAGGTGTGTAAACTGTCAGTGCTCTGCTAATGTTGGAAGAGCACTGACAAACAGCCTCCCTCCCCGCCTGTCCCCAGGCATCTGTCCTGTGCCTGACAGCTACTGTCACCCCCTGCTTTCAACAAGGATGCCAAAAACACACCGCCTGTAGGGCTTGGCCTCGGGATGGCTGCGCCGCCCTGCGGTACCCAGCGAGCGCAGCTGTTTTCCATTGTGATGCTGAATGCCTTTAGAAGGCAAATAGACTTGACTTTTACCTGGAACAGAAAAGCTGGGTCTAAACTCCTGGCCGTTACCTGTTTGGGAGTGTCATCCTGCACTACTGTCACCTGGAAGTGATACTCTGTCACTTAAAATCCACCGTGGCACCTGTGGAGCGAATGAGCCCGAGGCGCCTGGTTTAAGCTGCTGAACTTCTTGTGCTGTTGAGTCATTTGTGTTAAAGGTTCTCAAAACCACCTTCAGATTTGGGGCGATTGCAGCTTCTGTTACCAGTAACCCAGAGGAGAAGGGTGGGTTTAGCTGCTGCGGTGGGTGAGAGCGGTGTGTGATGGGCACGGAGCCCTTGGTGGCTGCAGAGCTTTTTGGGGACAGGGGCACTGTACAGGGGGAGCCTGGGCAGGTTTGGTTTTGTTTTATTTACAAAGTCAACACACCCTAAAGTGGCACTTGGGACCCAAATTGTGAGCAGTTCAGGGTCCAAGCAGGTCTCCAGCATCTCATACACGTAGGCCAAGATTCTGAAGCAAGTGGGAAGTGACAATTAAGCCCTTAACGACGGCAGGTCTCCGGCCTCACCAGCATCTCATACACGTAGGCCAAGACTCTGAAGCCAGTGGGAAGTGACAATTAAGCCCTTAACGACCAGGCCTGGTGCTGCTCTGCCAGCCCCACGGATGCAGGGGGGGCAGTGTTGGAGGCAGATGGTGACATGTGAGATCCAGGACCCTGTGGGACAGGCTCAGGGGTGACAGCGCAGAGGCTGAGGAGGGATTTGGGGACCGTGATGATGGTCCCTGAGCAGAGCAACCCCGGCCCTACCTCCTGTGTGGGGCGATGGCTGCCCTTGTTCCCCCTGGGGGGGCTTAGTCACCCGAGATGGGGGGATCCTGCAGCTGTGGGTGCTCTGTGGTGGCAAAGGCAGGTTGGGAGAGGTGGAGATGTGCAGGGCAGCATTGCCACATACCTGCCTGGCCAGGAGCTGGGGGCAAAGTCCCCAGTGGAAACTTGTTCCCCACTGGAAACTTGTCTGGGCTTAACCCCATGGGCTCGGTGGGGAGGGCTGGATCCCTGGGCCCGCTCTGGGGTGCTGCTGCTGGCTGAAAGCCCCCAGGACAAGGCTCTCCCCAGCCTTGCTTCTTGCGTTAGGCTCTGTTTGTCACCGTGGGTGTGCCATGTGCCCTGCCAGGGGACGAGGATGGTGCTGACCCCTCTGGCTGCTGCCACAGGGGCTTGGGGGACAGGGACTCCCCTGTCACCCCCGAGTGAGCAAGACAGTCTGCATGGGGTAGATCCTGCTGACTGGGTGAGTCTGCATTGGTGCTGGCCATCAGCAAACAGAGCTGGTCTCTCTCCATCCCTGCTGGCCACTGAGTGTGTCTGGAGGTTGCCATCCTCCCTGGCAGGGGGGTGGCCCTGCATCCACTGTCCCCAAGCCGTGCTGGCAGGGAGGTGGCACTGAGCCCAGCCCGCAGAGACCCTGTGCTGCTGGGATCACCCACCACTGTTAATTCTCTGCCCTTCCCCTCCCTGCAGGCACTCGGGAGCAGGCAGCTGACCCCAGCCAGGACCAGCCAGCGAGCAGCCCGGCCCCGCAGCGCCCCGAGGACACCCTGCCCGAGGAGCAGCACAACGGGCCACACGTGCCAGGTTGGTCTCCCTGGTGTGGCCAGCACCCGGCAGAGACCCCACGGAGGAGACACCGGCCACGGGGCTGGGGAACTGTTGGCTTCAGGCCCCTCTGGTCCCACCATCCTGCTGGCGTCCCGGGTGTCGCCCAAGTGGCGTCGAGCTGGAGCTGTTTGTGGGGCTGCTCTGGATGCCAGGGTAACCCTGAGCGTGGTGGTTGGACTCTGCCTTGCTCTTACCTGTGCCAAGGGGCCCGGTTCTGCCAAACCGCAGTGAGATGAGGAGAGTGTTTCCCTGTGGACTGGGAAAAACATAGCCTTGGATGGTCCGCGTTCAAGGAGAGGACCTTCTCCATCAGCTCAAGCCAAGTTTGGCCTTTCTGCAGCACTGGGAGCCACGGGGTTGAGCCCCAGCTCTCTCTGCCTGTCCCGTGGTTGACACCTTGGTCCTGGCTTTTCTTGTACAGCCCCCCTCACGCTCGCCCACCGAGTGCCACGTTCCCTGAGGGCACACACAGCTCTCCCAGCCCTCTCGCTGTGCCCTGCGTTGGGCAGGGTGCTCCGGGGAGGGACATGTTCCTCCTGCTGCCATCCTGGCCCTCCCTCAAGGAGCATATATGGTCACTGAGCTCTTGTGCCCATCCTCCTGGGCTGGCAGCGTGAGGGGAGCTGGGCAGCAGGACGTGCTGTCACCCTGGTGGCAGTTGGCGCTGTGGGAATGGTACCTGCTCCCTCCGGAGCAGAGGGGGCCGCGGATCCCACTGAGGGGCTCCCTGCCCTGCTGGGGCTTTGGCTGGCCACCCACCCCAGGTGGGAGCCACATATGGGCAGAGAAACCCACCCTAAAATGGCACTGTGTGGGGACATGCTGGCCCCTGAGGGGGGCTCTGACAGCGTGGGCAGGAGAAAGGGGGCAGTCAGGCTTTGGATTCACGGCCACGATGCGGGTGGTGGTAACAGAGCTGGTTCCTCCCCGCCCCGTGCCTCAGTTTCCTTCTCCTCCTGCCTCGCCTTGTGCACGCAGACGCTGCCGTCCTGCCCGCCCGCAGACCCCTTCCCTTCTGCCTGCGCTGAGCTGCTGCTGCCCTTGGGACACGGCCCCAACGCTGCCCTGCCCGGCCCTGCCCAGGGCTCAGCCCTCTGCTTCCCTTCCAGGAGGGGGGCTGGCTCCTGCCGCCGAGGTGCTGGAGGGGGGCCAGGTGCCCAGTGACTCTGAGGGGGACGTGTACTGTGACACCCTGGAGCAGATGGAGCCCGAGCAGGTAACGGAGGGCTGGGAGGCACTGGGAGCCCTTGCCTGCTGCCAGCCCTGCCCTGCCTGCGCCCTGCGGGCAGATCTCGCCGTGCTCCACACGCCACCGCAGCACCGCCACGCTGCCAGCTCGGTGCCACCACCCTGGAGCCCAGTGACACTCCCCAAACCTGTGAGGCCACCCGGCTGCACCTCTCTCTGCCTTGTGTCCCTCTTGGAGCCTGGTCCCTGTCACCGAGGGGAGGCTGAGGAGCCCCAGTGCCACCCACAGCCCCCCCATTCCTGTGGTGTGGCTCCGGTGGGGCACTGGGGAGCTGAGCGAGGCTGGTAGCCCCAAGCAGGCCTGGTGTGGCCACCTCACTTGCACCCCTGCCCCTCACTCTCTGCTCCCTGTTTGGCACTCAAGGGGCTACCGTGAGGCTTGGTGGATCCCGTGGGCAGGGGGGAAAAAGCCACGTGGCTGCCCGGCTTCTGGAGCTCTTTTGCCACCTCGAGCCCGGGCATTCTGCTCCCTCTCCTCCTGACCCCCCTGCTCCCTGGTGCTGCTGCTGCTGGTGGGATTTGGCTTTGCTCAGCCCCACATGCCCTCCTGTCACCCAAACTGCCACCGTGGGGCTGGGGGACAGACACCGCTACCACGGGGCTGGGGGACAGACACCACCACCACCCTGGCATCGCCCACCTCTGGCCGGCCCTGCCCCTGGGGGGGCCAGCGGGGGTCTCAGGGCCCTTCTTCTCTCCCCTGGCGCAGGCTGGGCGGCCGCTGGGTCTCTCCCCGGACGGGGGCCGGGCCGGGCATGAGCCCCCCAGGCCCCGCGGCACCGGGCAGGGGGAGCTGGGCGAAGGCAGAAGAGGAGAGGGGAGGAGCGGCGCGGGCCTGGCAGCCCCTGGCTCTGAGAGAGGTGGGTGCAGCGTTTGGCTCCTGCGCGCCTTCCTGCTGCTCCCTCTCGGTGCTAGGGCGGGCTCTCGGGGGGCTGCCACCACCAACGGGGCACAGGGTTTGGCTCCAGCACCCACTGCTGGGTCCTTCAGTAGCTGTGCATCCCCTCTCTCCGTCCCTTGGTCCCCAAAGCAGTTCGGTGTCTTTACCCCCCAAGGACAAGTCTCGTGTTGCCCATGTCTCCCTAAATAGCTTAAATTTGGGGGATGCTCTGCTTGTTCCTCGCCAGCAGCCAGGCGAGGAGTGCCTGCTCCAAGGTGGCATTGCCACCCTCACCCATGGGACAGCAGGGGTGGTGCCACCACCTCGCCTGGGTGCAGCCCCCCCCGTCTCAAGCTTATCTTCTCCCCCATTCTGAAGGAAAACCCTCCTGTGCTGCCTGACCCTGGCAGTTGGTTTGGAAGGGGGATGGTGAAGCTGGGCTGTTCCCCGGGTGCCAGAGGGGCTGGCACTGAGCCCTTGCAGCGCCCGTCACCCGGGTGTTTGTGGGGCTGGGGGCTGGCAGGGGGGCAGCGGTGCAGGCACAGCGTCGTGCCTGGTGTTTGGTGTCCGGGCATTGCTGGGTGAAGGGAGGTGACCCCTGTGCACCACCACAGCACCATGCTGGTGGGCTGGAGGTCACCCACTGCCAGCACCTGGGGGGATGCGGTGGCCCGTGTCCCCAGGGAGGGCTGGGGGAGAGGGATGTGGGCTGGGAGCTGCCAGCTCTGGTGTGGTGGCACCCTGCACTGTGGGCACTGGTGAGCTCCGTTGCTGGCCGTTGAGCAAGCAGGGGTTCTGGGGGGCATGACGGGTGCTCGACCTGCCCAGCCCCATCCCCACGGGTGTCTGCCCCACTGAGCAGGGCCCATCTCTGTGCCCCACAGATCTCCAGCTCCCCGAGGGAGAGCAGGATGCCAGGAGTGCCCCCCAGCTTGCCCAGGGGCTGCTGGACCAGCTGGACGCCCACGTGGCCGGCACCGTGCGGGCCCTGCAGGATGACATGCGGCGAGTGCAGGAGCGCCTGAGCCAGCTGGAGACGCTCGCTGCTGCCCAGGTACGGGCCGGGCCGGGAGCCACCAGGTGCCGGTGCCGCCTGGCCCGGCCACTGTGCCCGTGCTGGTGTAGGCCAGGCCAGCAGGGCTCAGCATGGGGTGGCCCGGGGGAGGGGACACCTCAGGGTTTGGGGACACATCCCGGCAGGGCTGGGGCTGCTCTGAGCCGGCCTGGGGGGCAGGCAGGGAACCAGGGGGGGCAGGCAGTGAGCTGGGGGTACAGGCAGTGAGCTGGGGAGCAGGCAGGGAACTGGGGGGGCATGTGGGGTGCAGGCAGGGACCTGAGCAGGCAGGCAGGGTACAGGCAGGGAGACGGGGAGCATGCTGGGAGCTGGGGGGGCATGTGGGGTGCAGGCAGGGAGCTGAGGGGGCAGGAAGGGAACCAAGGATGCAGGCAGGGACCTGAGCAGACAGGCAGGGTACAGGCAGGGAGACGGGCAACAGGCTGGGAGCCGGGGGGGCATGTGGGGTGCAGGCAGGGAGGCTGGGGGGCAGGCAGGGAGCCAGGGGGCAGGCAGGGTGCAGGCAGGGAGATGGTTGGGCGCAGGCAGGGTGCAGGCAGAGCATAGGCAGGGGGGAAGCAGGGAGCGGTCAGGGGGCTTGTA